CAGTTCCAAAAGCAGAAGCCTACGCGCTTCACAGATCTGCCAGAGGCTTATTTTTTTCAAAATATAATCATTGCTGTCCTTGCCAATTACGGACCGCTTATCAACAGCCTCGTTCCTGACCCCATCGCCCTCCCGCCGCTGCCGTCAGAAGCCACTCGACTGAAATGATCAAACTCGCCCAATTCAGTACTTGGCCACCAGCCTGAACGCAGCTGATATTTAACGCGAGTTCAAGGCCCAGGGAAGCTAATGACTGAACTCACACTTCATTCAAGGCAAACGACTGGAAATCTGCACAGATTTCCAAGCGTGCAAAACACGCTCAGAAGTCAAACCCTCCCAGCCAGGTTTCTACGCAGACTGGCGTTTTATCAAAGATACAACTAGAAAAAACTGAATGCTGCCTTTTCTTACAAAGAGCAGGCTTTTAAGAATACCAATACCTGCAACTTATTGTAAACATTTGTTAACAACTCTAGGCACGCAACAGACAAGCAACGTTCAAAATTTTGCAAAGTTTGGCCTTACACCAGCTGCTTCAACTTCCACAGCAGAGCGTTACGACAGATGAAGCCCATATGTACTCAACCATACACATTTCATAAGCGTTTTTTTGGGTTTGGGTGGTTTTTTTTTAAACAGAGAAAAATGAGCAAAATTTTCTCAACTATATGTCAATTTCAATGTGCCAACAGCATTAGGACAAAAATTAGTACTAAAATAATGACATTCTGAAAATTTTCAAATATACCAGGTACTGTGATGCACAAAACCAGGTGCGGCTTTTAGGGTATTACTCGTAATAACAAGCTGTTATCAAAGCCAGCGCAATAAACGTTTCAGTTTCACATTCAGCGGAAACCCAAGTGTCTCTCTGAACATCCCAGACCCATCTGCTGGCAACCTAAAAGAAAGAAAAGAAAAAGCTGTTTGTGAATCTATAAACAGCACAGTTTGTTTATTTTTTTAAAAGAACACACAGCACTATATAAATACTGATATAATTGCATTCTGAGAGTTACAAGTAGTAACAACTACTGCAAAATTACAATGAAAACTAGCAAGTCCTATTCGATGTTAAAATACATGCTCTTGCTTCACAGTAAAGCTGCCACCCCGATAGATCCGAAAACCTCTACACCAAAACCTCAATTGTCTCTCATGTTCACTTGTTAGCACTTTAGCGTGCTGTAACAGCACCCCTTCAAAAGCAACGTGAATAGACATTGGTTTTGGGAACATATACAACTAAGAAGTCACGTCCCCCACTCCTCCACCTCCAGCTTACTCCAGTCTACTTGTGACCATTTACTGGGCTCTCCGCTGCTTTTGATAAAACCGTTTTCAAAGCTAAAACGTGTGAATTGACTGCTGGAATAAGCATATTCCTCAGGAGAAAAAAGTTAACTTGGACCATTTCAGTAATCCGTTTCAACCTACAGCTCCTCCGTCAAAGTACAACCTCAGAGGCAGCGTACTGCGAGACAGCACCAGAAAAGTAGGTAGATGCAGGCCCCTCACAGGCTGGCTTCATTACCGAGGCTGACAACCCTTCAAACATTGTTTCATGTAACCCACTAAAGCCAGGTATGGTTTCATCAGGCTTTAAGAGCTGATGATGAACACTCCTAAATAGAAGTGCTCTCTGACACGCGACAAGATACCTCAAAGTGTTCTGAATGCCAACGGAAGCTTGCAATACATGTAAATTTACATACAGCACAGGAAAGTCTAGAATACTTTTCTTTTGGGTGTGCCAGGTTCAGATCACTAATGTGAATTTGTAGTGCTGGGAGCACGTTTGGTGGCAGCTACAGTTGAAACAGGTTTCAACTCCTTTCCTTGCCACCCGTTCTTTTCCACGTCACCTCACACTACAACTGCACAGCGTTTTGCACTGAATGCGACGACCCAACTGGAGATCAAAGTACACTGGAAAAAGAAAATTCACTGCAGTCATGCAGTTGTACTGGTACAGCACACAGCGGAAATAACTGGTTGACAGGGAAGAGCAGCATGGGCTGCTTACCACTGTTACTGAACTCAAACAGGACAACCTTCAGAGGGTTAGGCAGAATCACAGCACTACCTTAAATCGTCACCTGGCATACTACGCCCCATAAAGAACCCAAGGCTTCAAGAGCACCTCAAACTAGTTAAGCTGCTGAATGCGGATGAACACCTAGGAGATAACACAGAGTTCTAAAGATTATTTTCAATTTGCAAAAGATATCATGAACAATGTTTGCTCACATTTATTGCCTGACCTGCCTTTTCCACAATTAGTACTGATACCACATACTTATAACGGTCAAAGTCCAATTCCTTCACAGCCTGTAATATTTCTTCTGAGATTGAAGCACACAAGGAGGGACTAGAAACTCCATCGTACTTGGCTTGTTGAAGTTTATTCTACCAAAAACAATTTTGAAAGATCTTAGTTTTCATCCTGGTAGTCTTTTGCAAAAAAACTTTTACAGTAATTTCCATTACAAGGACATTAGAAGAACTAATGAGTAGAATAGTCAATATAGATGATGCTCTCAAACAGCAAAGGCTGTGCTATTTTTACACTAAAATATTTTACCTATTTTTTTGAAAGTGACAAACACGTCCAGCCAATCTCCGTTTAACAAACGTGTGTATTCTTCTCCATCATTTGGGCTTAGTTCACTGGAAAATAGTGCTACAAATACCTATTCCAAATATCCAAGGCATGTCTTCCAGACAGCAGAATTACAAGAGTTGTTTATAACTGTTCAAGGTATCACTAACAGCTACGTATTGTCTCAACAGATTGTTCTCCTTCATTTTTGCTTAATTTTTTATGTGGCAGTCAGACTGTCAAGGACTCCAAGTATATTTTATGCAGGTCATGTGATACTAGTAGAACTAATTGAAGGAGTAGAATTCCACAAATTCAAGGTCAGGATCTTCGGGTAACTGGATATTTTGCAGATTAGGGTACTTTGAACTGTGCTATAGCTCAATTTGATTTAGAAATGGGTAAGAGTTTAAGAAGCTTCAGGTCCATCTTAACAGCACATGCTCAGAGGCGACCTTGCAGAGGGCCTTCTGCACTTTGCAAGACGGAGCACATTCACATTACATTTGTGTGCCAAAACTCGAAGTCTGCAAAGATTTATGCATATGCTTAAGTTTATGCAACTTACACTATTCCATTAATATAATCTTTGCAAGACAAGCTACTTTTGCAATAAAATTAGACAATTCATTTAAAAAAAAATACCATACCGTTAGTATTGCTTGAGCTTTGTCTCTTACTAAATAATCCCGGAATTTATTATGTGACTCCAGTCTGTATGTATTAGCATATCTTATCTTTGCCCTATTAGCTTTGAATGCCAATAGCTTAGCTTTCATTGAATCACTAAAATACTCTTCTTCCATTGGAGCCATACCTAAAGCTTCGTAATTTGACTGTGTCCTTTTTCCTTTCGTCTGTGCAAAATAATAAAAAAGTCCAATCACATATCAGTATTTTAGCATTTAACAGTCTCTAAATAATACTTTATGGTGTACAGTTAAGAGGAAAAAAAACCAGTCCAGGAATATGTTACAAAAAAAGCAGAAAAGCTAGAAAATGGGTATCTTCTTCTGGCTGTTTTGACACTACCACTTCGACTGAAAAAAAGAGAACAGTGGTTAACTTCTACTCAATTTTAACTTCTTTTCCACCGAAATCCAAATGAAGTTTGCATTTAAACTCAGTCAATCAGCCACACCGTACTGGCACTCTGAATCCACTCCATTTTCCAAGTAAAAACACACAGACATTAACATATGTGTCCAAGACTGTTAACCACAACTTCAAGCTTTTCATTCAAACAGCCTACACAAAACCCAAAATACATGCTCGGTTCATTTACTAAGTAATTTTACTTGTCCTCATTCCTTGTGAAGCTACTAAGCAAATGCCTTATGTATTAATGACTTAATTTGCTTGTTAATAAAAAAAGGAAAAATATGCTCCAATTTGCAAGCTTTGTAATTTTTCTTGGAACTTAAAAACAGAGTAGTACTTCTTTTTATTTGTCATCAGAACTCTGAAGATCCAAGTTTTCTCCCCATCCAGCTTGTGTACTATCATTCTCTTCAACACACACAACAAAATTTGGCGCTCTCACTGCAAGCAGCAAGTCTGATGATACACACAAAATATGTCACCTGTTGTCCTCCACGGCTGGCTTAAAACAGAACTGTAAAATGCTAACAAAACAAGACAGAGACAGAAAAGCACATGGAACCAATGAGATCATAACAAATGCTACAGACAGTGGTATTCCATACCAGCTACCACCTAACTAACCACTTTCAAGTATTGCTGACTCTTCAGTCCCTTGCTCCAGGGGTGCTCCCCTTGCTAGAACTTAGGTGAGAGAAAATCATCAGTTCCTTCTCAGAAGAGCAGAAAAGAGCACGAAGGTGATATAACACCACAGTGCAAGGCTTACACTAAGAAGTATAGAAAAAAACATACACTTATGAATAATATAAAAGTCTATAATGCACTACTCAGGGGCTCACAAATCATTCAGACAGAGGAGTTTGAGAATAAGGGAAGCAATGCAGTTTCTTCTTTATGAAATCACTTACGCATTAGCCCTGTCAACACTGTGGACGTTACCTACGTCTCTCCTCTGGTTCCTCACTGTTAAATAACTCTGTTAAAAACCAGTGACATTGGCAGCCCTAGTGCAAATTGGCTGCAGGTGTTTGCTGATGCCATGCCAACCATGCAAACTCTGAATAGTACTTACACTACACTAAAAATGCAAGGAGCAAACCCATTTGCACCTAGGCTGTGGACTCTCATTATCTTCTAACGTAAACTCAGATCTGTAGACTATAGCCCCTACCTGCTCATCATAGGTCCCCTAACAGAATAAAAGCCACCTCAAGTCTGCCATCTGAGCTGCTCAAACGAGCATCCCAATCCACGTCAGTGGAAATGAACCTGCGAAAAAGGTCACAATCCAAACAGCAATTCTTTGCTAACATGGTTCAGCATGAGTGACAACATCTTCAGCCTGTACCACTACAGATGGAAGAAAATTCATGTCCATAGCACATGACTTCTAACAATGCTGTTACATACAAGTTTAACTGCTATTACTAGTGACAAAATTTTCATAATCATTTCCTCATGTGCAAGAAGCCATTTACTAATGAGGCAACCAAAAACCTTACTGGTATCTCTACACAAACCATTAATAAATAAACCTACTTTTGTATTTCACAATACAAATACTGTGATTGCAAGTTTTAGCACAATGTTGCAATTACATTTCTGTGTAATATTTACATCCTTCTTGGAAGAATCTCTCAAAAATTCAAGAACCGACTTTGCATTTGATTATAAAAAAGCCTGTTCTTATGCTACTGGACTCTACTACATTGGCTTAACCTTGGACATATGGAAGTAAGCATGCTGAGAGAAGAAAGCTTTTGCTATTTAAAAGAAGTGCTGTTTGTTAATAAGTCTAACAACCAATAGTTGCTCTGAAGTTAAAGAAACAGTTCTTTATTTCTTCAAAAGAGGGCACACCTTCTGCAAACTTGGAGAACTTACAGTAGCACCCCAAGTTGGAAAGGCTGCACCACCGAAGAGAGGACCACCCTTGCCTTCTTTTTACCTTCACGAGGCTGTAACAACTTTGCCTCCCAATGCCGAAGGCAGCACACCAGCTGCAAGGTGGATGTGAACATGACATCCGACCAAGCAGAAAGGGGACAAGCTATCCCAAACCGGATGTAAAACAGGTGGGAACAGCATTTCTGGAACAAGTTTTCACAAGATCACACTCACCTTTTAATCACCCACCGAGCCTCACGGTCTCCCACACGCTGCACCGTCCTTCCTAAGGACCCAAGCCCCATCCCTCCCTCCTTCCCCCGCCAGAGGAAGCGCCTC